AAGAACAAATTCAAACCTCGAAGACACATAACAACAATATTATTGTCAGATGAAGTAACTGGTATGTGTAGGACCCATAGTGCATGAAAAATGCCAAAATTTAGTGCTCAACTGTGAAATCCTTACCCAATGAGATGAACACAGGCTCTGATCTTAAGGATCTCACGTGTCACATACTAGGACACATATATTTTAGAGGAATGGTAGCTGGAATTTTCTGTACAGATAGCTGGACTCATGTGCATTAAATCCACATAACATGCAAGTCTCATATACACACTGTTCCGAAGACATTAAAAATTTTTAAAAAGCCCACCCATGCTGAGCAGGCTACATATGGGACATTTTTGGTGCAATATTTGGACTGGAATATAAACCATTTTGAAGGGTTATGGCAACCTGGTACAAGGCACGAGGATATGCAAGTAATAAAAACGGGATTATAACCATGAGCCTGGGCTGCTCTGCCCAGACAGGTGGGCTGGGAGTTGGAGTAGGTGGTCACCATCTCCCAGTCCAAGAAGGACATATCATGGAGGGTGTGTACCTAGGAAACTTGTATGACAGCAGAGGTCAGGACTAATACCAACTGATGCCAGCTCTACTTGCAGCCCTTGATCTGAAGTGCTGGGGGAAGTGCCTCATATAGAAGTAGAGATATGTACAAGCAGTGGCTACTTCGGGCCTTCGAGAGGGTCTTGTAGCCATTCGTTGGAGGGGAAGATGAAATGGCTTTTGGATAATTCCAGCTCTAAGGCATTCGGGATTCTTCCCACTGAACTCAGCTACACCTGCTCCTCTGCACTTGTTAACGACTTTATATTAACACATAAAATCTACACAGGCAAACTGCTTCAAGGTGGCCGAAACTGTAATTTGTATAATACTGCAAAAATATGCATAGTTGACTCAGAGTTGCCTTGTAAATTTTTACAGAAAAAAAAATTATCCCAATGAAAACAGCATCGCTATCAGGAAAGGCATATGCCAAGAATGCATCCTATGTCCATATCTTCTCAATGTATATGTGGACCAAATCATCTGGGTGGTTGGACTTTACGAAGAGGAATGTGGCATCAGGATTGGAGGAGGACTCATCAACAACCTGTGTTATGCAACCTTGCTTGCTGAAACTGAGAAGGACCAGAGGCATTTGCTGCAGAAGGTCAAGGATTGCAGGCTTCACTATGGATTCACTATGAAGCTCAGCATCAAGAAGACAAAGATCTCACCACTGGACTAATTGGCAGCATCATGGAAAAATGGAGAAGAGATTGAGATTGTTAACAATTTCAGCTTACTTGGTTCCACAAT